AATGAGGAAAGGGAAAGTATAACTCAGAAAATCATATTTATAACTGTTTATGCAAAAGTTTCCAAGTTCCTTTTGTTCACTTGTAAGTTTGTCGAAATTAGCTAATGAGGTTCGTCTTGTATTTCAGGTTTGGTTTCAGAATCGACGAGCGAAGTGGCGTAAACAAGCCCGGTTACAGTTGTTACAGGACGCATGGAGAATGAGGTGTTTAGGTTTAGGGAGTGCGGCGCCTCTTCTTTTGAGGCCGCCACCCACAGCGTCATTGGAAAGACCCGATACGGCGACATCGCCACCACCGCCACCGCCACCGCCACCGCCTCCGCCACCCTCGTCATCCGCTACCACCAACGGGCCACCATTGACGACGAGCAACGCCGACAAAATACCTGACACTCCGACCCTATCCGTTTGCAGAGATTACAGAATTCTTCCACCCCCGCACGGGTACTTAATAGCATTACCCAATTATCGCTTCATCTCGTAAATTAACAATCCAATTTACAGATCTTACTAGCTTTAATAGTATTCAACTCATTACGGTGATCCGTTCGTTTTTATAGAAAATTAAATTCACGAATATTTTTGTTAAACGCTATTGTATTAAAAAAAAAACATCGCATTCACGAGTCTTTCGGAAGACAAACGTTTTGCGAATTAGCTTCTTCAAATTGCTTTTTACGAAAAAACATGTTCTTATGGAATGATCGAAGATTACCGTTCACACTGACAATATCGTATGTTAATTCGAAAATCGTATATTTTCATAGACGGAAGCTAAGAAACAGAACATTGTGTGGAATCTGTTTCAGATATTCTTTGACATGTGATAAATCTCCGGAGAGAATGAAATGCGGTTGCGGTTCTCCACCGAGAATATGCGGTAGTCCAGTAGAAAGGGATATAAATTTAACCGTGAGAGATAGGCCCCAGGAGGCGGAAATGGATCTGACGGTGAAGGGTCCACCGCGGCACGCGCCAATCGCTTCCTTGTTCCATCAACTGCCCCAACAAGAGCTCGGTCCTTCGCAAAACGTCGACGAACCTTTGGACGTTACACTCAACGCAAATAAAAATAATTAATCACTCCCGTTATTTCATCTCGATCTTTTCTTTCGGTTTATTTGCTTCCTCCCTCGCAGTTTTTTGCTCGGTGCAATGGACAAATCACAGATTTTCGAACGACTTCATTCCGAAGATACAGTGGCTACAAGAAGTACATCGTTTCTCGTTTCTGGTATTCTTGTTTTTCAATAACATGTTTTTTACTATTCCAATTCCAATATTCTGGCACATTGTGATTACCCATGTATAAAGTAAAAAAAGGAATATGAAACGTTAGATAGGATTGGATATACCTTCTCGTCTTATTAATTGTATATTGTACATAGATTTACTTTTTGCAGTTACTGTATCGTTAAAATTTCTATTATGGTTCGAATTTCGAATATCTAGATAGCTGATCCGAAATTATTAACACCTCCTTACTGATGATTTTCATGTTGCATTTGTAATTGTTATCGTTTGACAAACGTACATCTTTACTACTAAAATAATAGGTATATACTAATATACAACTATGTTAACGCAACATTTTAATCTCTAACTCTTTAGATTCGTATTACCTTCGTTATTCTTCTTGCTCGATACTTTACCAAATTACCGTAGTTAATCTAATTATTAAAAAATATCATTTATCGTATACAATCCTTATTATCTCGCATTGCTCTATTGGGATAAGAAATGTTGTTTATTATTTTTCTTCTTGTATAATCGACAATGTACATACACGTTTCCTACATTATCTTTACTATTAAATTATAGTGATCGATAAGTTCACTGAATAATATGTATTATATCGAAACCTTATTTTGACAATTACGAGGAATATCTTTTGTAAAAGTTGTATGATTTTGGAAACGCGACTGCGTAAGAGAATAATGTTCTGGAAATGTTCATGGTAATTTTCAACTGTATCTCTAGTCATAATGTTAAATTATTTTGTTAACGAATGTTTACTCATATTTTATTGCTACTAACGATGATGACAATGATCAAGGCTAGAATCAACACTTCCATTTGCATCGACGAGAATAAAGTTGCTTCTAGAATCGTACAACTGTACATCCTTGGAATTTGAGAAATAAAATAATTTATAAACTGTAACGTTGTACACACGTGCAACGTACCATTTTCGTGAAATTCTGTTCGTATATATTAAATTTTTAAATTGTTATATTATATTAATTGTACCGCTAATAAAAGACTAATGTAATAATAACAATAATTACAATAATAATAAAACGATAATTGTACAGAGGACATAATCTCAGGAGTTGTTGCGCGTTGTTAAATAACAGAATTCTTTCGACATAATATATCTATAAATATCATATATGAAATCAGACATTTTAATTCCACAAATAAATGAAAATAATCTGTCGACAGTTTTGTCATTTTTCAGATTGATGGTCCTGGTCTCGTTACCTACATATAGGATATTCGAAACATTCATTGAATCGTGAAATAAAGTAATAGCATACGCGCAGATACGTGCGTATATACAATATTTTTGTTCCTACACTACAGATTTGAATTGAAAAGAGTTTTACAGAAGATCGGAAATTACGGATCGAGATTACATTATGGAGCATCCCTTCTCCTTCAAATTCCGAGCACCATCAATCAGACACTGTTCCCATTCTCGACGAGTCGAATTGTGCGCATTCCCTAATTACATACATATTATGTGTATATATGTAGATACTCAAGCGATTACAAGGCGCAATCCCCACCCATGCCAATTCACAATCAATCGCTATCAGAAATCAGCATATCCTCGTGACGTCGCGTCATGGTAGGACCTGACTTGATCTGATCAAATGGATTAAAGTGCATAAGTAGTGCGAAGAAAATAGTTTTCAAACAGAAACCTATATAACATCATTTATGATGAATACATGTAATTGAATATATAAAAGTGACATTTATTTATAATACGTTTGAATTATACATATATGAATGTATGTGTATATATGTATATATTCGGTGAAGTATGTAATACAATATTACGAAGTTTAAAATAAATGTATAATACTTCAATGAAGTATCATATGAAACTAATGAGATATATTTCACTTTAATAAAATTCTAAATAAAAACAGAAAGAAACTATTTCTAATCTACAATATCATTGGTAGGCCTTAAGGAAACATTGGCACTCTTTATAATTCTTAAAATGATCTTCTCACTTCTAATAAATATGAAAAATTGTTAGGCATACGAATTATACTGAAATATTTCAATATTAATATAATCAGTCTTGTGTCATCGTTCCAACTACCTAGTGCAATATTTTATACATCTCACAGCTGTATGCAAAAACTCCTGAAAACAATACGAATAAAAGAATTACGGATAATAAAGTTTATGAATGCATAATATTTTTGTGAGTCTTACTTTGAGAAATCGCTGCTCTTTTCGATAATATGTTCGAATTCGGCGAAACTAAGTGCACCGTCGTCATCCAAATCTGCCTCGTCAAGTATATACTGAAGGACTTGCTGCATATCTGTTTCGTTTAATCTTTGAGGAGCAGTGAGTCTATCTACCACTTGCCTCAAGTCTCCAATACCAAGCATATCGTCTCCATCGAAATCTGTTGAAGTTCATCATAACAACACACAAGATATAAAGATAAATTGACAAAAATCTGATGTAATTACCAAATATTCTGAAAGCATGCTCAGCTTTCACAGCTTTTGGAGCTGCATCACTAAAAACAGACATCATATCCAAGAAATCTTCAAAAGTGCAATCTCCGTCTTGACTAGAACTGAACACTTTACAAATTCTATCTCCAAATGGGTTCGCTCTCAATTCAGGATATTGTAAAATCTTGGACATTGGAAGTTTTGCATTCCTGTTGTGACCCACCTTCTCTGGCGCAAGTGCTTTAAATTTTTGATGAGCGCTAGTACACCATCCAAGTATTAAAAAACATCGTCGAGCAGACAATAGATTTTGATGAATAAGAATTTTAAATACTTACTGCAAAATTTCTTTCTTCGTAAAGTATGTTAAATCCTGTAACATCGGATAACGTTAAATTACTAAATAAAATAGGAAAATTGATTCGATTTTATTAAACAATGCAAAATACCTGGTAATCCTGCAGTTCTTCTTCGGAAAATTGACTTTTACCCACCCCCATTTTTCGTAGAATTTAAAAATTAATTTCGTACTTTACATACGCAACTTTAATCAACTTTAATACATCGTCTATTTGTTTTTTAACAAAATATTTGTTAGTCTAGGCCAGCAGGCCTAGACGGACTCGGTTGCGCTTGTCTGCGCCTCAAACGATCGATATATCGTCGAGGGTATAGTTTCATCTTGAGATACTTAATTGTATCATATAATTATAAATTACATATTAGATTTTCAATATTTATTATTATTATTAATAGAAACTGATAAGTATTAGATATTTTTTAATTATTATCCTGAATTGACATTTAAGTTCTTTCGTCTAGAAATTCAAACGCCATCTACATATATTGCAACAAGCAAGCGAATTTCTCTGGATATATGTCTTGGGGTTCGTATTTAACTTATCATAAAAAATTCATGAAAGACAAATGAATGCAAATGAAGGTAATTAATGAAGATAAACACGTGAGTAGGAGAATATTAATATTTGTACAATGTTAAATTCCAATTTGAAACCTTAATTAGTTGGTTTCACATACATGTATTTTTAATTGATATTTTGCTATAATTACATTATAATATTGTAAGAAGTGATTTGCCTATATAAAATATACAATACATACTACTGTAAGCTAAGCTTAAAAGGATTAAAATAGTACGGTACTACCGGGACATGAAAAATTTGTTAAAACAAATGAATAGTTTTCTTGAAATTATGCTACACTACACCCTATGTTCCGTAATCTTGAACATTGTAAATGCACTATGACACATGTTCTGCACGTCATCTGGATAAAAAGGAAGTCGCTTCGGACTTTGTACTTATAGCAGATTGTAAACTCATCATGGATCCTCTGCAAAAAGTAAATTGTTCTAATGTAATAAATCAGTTGGAAATTAAATTGCGGGAAGTAAAATACCTGTAATGAACCGAAGGTAAGGTCTCGTAGAAGTACATTAGTTGCGCCTTATGCCCGCTGACCGATGGAAGAAATTCACTTGCATCGTCTTGATTATGCCATTGTAAAATGTATATACCCGTATCTTGCATTATGTGAGAACCCTATATTCCACAAGGAAAGAATCAAAAATGTAATCATTCATTTAATTAATAGTATAATTGTTATTTCTAATTTGTCATCATCAACTTCACCTGAATACTTTCACCATCGTGACAAACGACACTGGGTTCGACCTTAACAAAATGCCCTTTGATTTCCTTTGTTTCTAACAATTCTGCATCGTCATCTGCGACGGCTTCATCTGAAACAAATCACAGATACATTTATGTTTTATTCCTTCGATATTTCTCTTGAATCTCATACGTATCATGTAGATATTACGTGCACGTACCTGGAGAAGGATTTTTGCTTTCATCGTTAGCTTGATACAGGACAGAAAATACTATATTATGACGCATGACGTCGAAGTCCCATGTTAAAACCGCGCCGGGGTCGTTTGAACGTATTATTACGCGATGAATTTGTCCACGGCTTAAACTAATAGAGTGATACAAACTATGCTCCTGTTCAACAGATGTATGTTCTAACTCCATTTTATATAACTGCTTTGGTACAATTCCTCCTTCGCCAACGTAAGCCTAGTATCAACGAAAAATATATTGTTAAGCTTGTAAATCCAACGAAATAAATGTTTTTGATATTACATACTGGGAACAATGTCTATTTAAATTTTGCAGATTGACTACATATAATTGCATATATTTTATACAAAAAGTTGATCTTAATTCGATCCCATTCTTTTCTGTCGTTAAACTGTTTACATGATACTTTGTATTTGTGAATTTTACAATTAGGAGTGACACATTTTTGTGCATTAAACACGTGTATACATTTATTTTCTAATTATAAGTTACATGATTATCGAATCGATCGACCGATGTGGATGATGAATGATTACTAATGTAATAAAAAAGAAACATAAAGTTAGATGTCTACGATCTTCAAACAACTAAAAGAAGGATACGAAAATTCTTACGTTAGTAGCAGCTGAGTCGAAAATATAAAATCTTCGAGGTACCATACCATAAATTTCGCACACACTGTCCTATTAGTCAAAATATATTTATTTCTATGCATAAAATTTCATACTAAAATAATGACAGGCGCTACAAGTATCGTGTTGTTATTTACATGAAAATCAATTTGATACGTATATCAGTTTTGTTAGTAGTAAAATTTTGGACAAACTGGATGTTTATGTATGAATCGAGTTGATTAAGAATTAATTGTTCTTACCTCGGACGTTCCACCGAGAAAATCTACAATATATTCAGGATCTATGTATTCGCTTAGACCGCCCGGACCTTGCTCTTGATAATTGGTACCACAATAAAATACAAATTTCTTTCTCGT